TGTGTGTGTGTGTGTGTGTGTGTGTGTGTGTGTGTGTGTGTGTGTGTGTGTTGAGATTATGGGAAGTCCTGAGGCCCTTCACGGGTATCTTCAGACAAACCACATTAAAAGGGAAATCACAGGAGAGTGGTGGTGGTGCATGCCTTTAATCCCAGGACTCAGGAGGCAGAGGCAGGCAGATTTCTGAGTTTGAGGCCAGCCTGGTCTACAGAGTTCCAGGACAGCCAGGACTACACAGAGAAATCCTGTCTTTAAAATTAAAAAAAGAAAAATAGAAATCATAGACAGTTTTGGAACAGTAGGGATAAGACAGAGTAAAAAGAAGATCCTCACACAGTAAGGTTCCCTAACAGTCTTTTCTAATAAGGATGGACTTTGCTGAGGTACTATGCCTGGCCAAACAGGTGACAAACAAAAGACCACACTAGAGATGTCCTGTTGGGCTCTAAGAATGAGGTCTCCAGAGATCTGTCCATAGAGTGGCCAGGTACATATGCCAGCCTCTCCATCTCACCCTGCTGAAACCACAGGCATCCAGAGCCAGAGCTTGCAAAGTTAAGTATGGATCATAGGTTTACAGAACAGTTCCCCCTGGAGGACCCAAAAGAATTTCCTTCCCATGAGTTCTTCCTTGCCAGCATATAGACAGTCGTATGCTAAGCGGAAGCTGCCAGAAAAATGAAGACACATGGACTAGGGGATATAGAAGTACAAGGTATGACAGGTATTGCTGCCCACCCCAACAGAGACATTTCTGAAGCAAGAGAAATTAGCATACATTACCTCATGACCGGCATACTTATCGAGTGGCGGATGGAGTAGCTGCTGCTTGGAAGCATGGTGAAAGCAGAGAAGGAAGCAAGAATTAGCCCGTGGTGCCAGATCAGCCCACGCTTGCCAGCTTAGCTCACATATACACCAATTTCTCAGTGAGAAGAAGAGGCAGGACTCTCCCAGCACCATCAGAGAGAGCTACTGACCCTTTCCACATAGTACCCTTTCTCCCAGCTCCATAGGTTTCCAGTGCTGCCATTGCTGAGCAGTATGGCACTGACCAGGAAGAGTGTTGGGAAACTGAAGCTCATGGCACACACCTTTAGTCCCACCACTGGGAAGACAGAGGTGGGAAGATGAATGATTTGAGTCCAGTCTGGTCTACAATACAAGTTCTAGGCCAGCCAGGAATACATATTGAGACTGTGTCTTAAAACAAAATTAACAACAAAACAGAGAAACTGTATGGAGACCTAGGCTTTGGGTTTTTGGAAATAGGTGGTCCACAGTCTTCAGGTGCCCACAGCAAGTTGAATGATGTTTCAGCAAAAGGGTAACACCCAGGGTAAATTAAATAAAAATATTTAAAGTCAAGCCATGTGCGTGCCACACATCCCAGCACTCGGGGAGGCAGAGGCAGGTGGATCTCTGAGTTTGAGGCCAGCTTGGTCTACAAAGTGAGTCCAGAACAGCCAAGGACACACAGAGAAACCCTGTTTTGAACCCTTCTCTCCCTTCCTCAAAAAAAAAAAAAAAAAAAAAAAAAAAAAAAAAAAAAAAAAAAAAAAACAAAAAGTGAAAAAAAATTTAAACTCACAGATTGTTCTGATTTGGCTTCAAACCTCCCAGTGTTTACTACTAGAACATGGCCATACTGCACGTGTCAGCATGAAGACTCCTGGTGAGGAGTATCTAAGGGCTCTCAGATAATGCATTAGACACAACTCAGTCTGGGCCATAAGGATGCTTCTCAAAAGCAAGAAAACAGGGTCTGCACATGATAGGATTGGGAACACAAGAGATAGGGTTGGTACTTCCTCCTATGTGAAAATGCTTATTTTCTAGCATAAACTTAGATATGGACATTTGCCATAGGAGGTTATGTCAGTTACTTATTGCCCCCAAAACATGCAATCCAATTAGGCCTGGATGAGACACTCAAAAAGGATAGTCATATAGACTATGCCTTGTGAGCAAGCAGCTGCCTCCTGGGCACGTTCCTGAGAAAAAGGGGACTTCCACTACACTAGCTTACCTACTTTTACCCAGCAAAGTCTGTCATTGGCCTACCACAGTCCACCCTGCCCTAATACAGAGGTGTGTAAAAGGTTACCTTACCTAAAGGAGTGTGAGAACGGATGAGCCCTGAAAGGTAGCAACAGGAGGAAAGAAGAAACATAGCATTATTGAGCAAGGGAGGCCAACGCCATACAAGACCCCCAACAGAAGCCCTAGGTTCCTCTGCTCAAATTCTGAAAGGTTAAGTAGGGTTAATGGGTTAAGACACTCTGAATGCTTCTTCAGTGCTCAAACTGATAGGAAGAGCAGAATACATAAGCCCTATCCTGACTCCACAAAAGACTATTAAGAAAGAGTAACTGGCAACCATGTGGTTCATGGCACTGTATTTCTGAGCATTGTCACACAATACACACTGTTACAGGTTAAAGGAGAGAAAGCAAAAAAGAGCTAAAGAAAATACTTGAGACGTCAGTAGCCCAGTGAGCAGGCTGGAGATATGATACAGTGAGCCAGCCAGGCTGGCCCAGCAGTTCATGAAACACCTTGCATTTTCTGAAGGTAAACAAGAACCCAAGCACCAAAAGATGACTTTTAACATAGTCAGGGCTAAGCACTAAGGCTCTAGACTGTATTACACAGACACCAATCTAGAACATGCATGTTGAAGGGAAGCTGCTGGCATGGAACAACATAGCTAGCAACTCCTTCACAGTCAGTCAGGCTCTTCATCTCTAAATTGCTGCAGTTTATGAGTGGCCTTGAACAGAGGCTACCACTGAAGGAACCACTGAAGAATGACACTCACCACTCTATAGGTATAAGCAGGGTTACCAAGCCTACTTCCTACTTCCCTCTCCCCATCTCCAGACCAGGGTATATCAGAGGCCCCTAGAGCTCCCTGGGCTCCAGGACTGGTTCACCACGGACAGAATCATCCATCTATCCTTAAACTCATGCTATTAGTTTCCTGAGCCTAATGGGTATTCTCAAGAAACCAGGAGCATGATGGACCTGGTCCTCAGAAACCACTGTGATTATTTGAGAAGATAGGGCTCTTCTGTGGACCAGAGAGATCAGAGTATAAAATACTAACACAAATGCCAATAGATATGTCCTCTTCCCTAGGGGATGACACACAGTAAACAGAAAGCCCTTTGGGCATTGTGAACACAGCACAACCACCCAACTGGAAAGAACCAGTTTCTCTGACCTTGTTCTGGAAGCCTTGACCACTTTGGCTGGCCCACACACGCCAGAGCAGTGAGATCAGGCATTCAGATAATGCTATACCAACCAGCAGCACTGCCACAGGGACCCTGCTAACTGCCATAATCCCAAAACTATATATAATGGGGGTCAATGGCAGATCCCAGTTCTCTGAGGAGAAAATAGAAACTTTATTTCTTCTTCAACAAGGAGGAGAAGAAACCAAACAGGATTATACCTTACACTTCCAAAGAAAGGGAAGCCACATAAAAAATAGCTCAATCAAGATGATTAAACAGGCTGGGCATGGTAGTCTGTGCCTTCAATGTCAATACTCAGGAGGTAGAGGCAGGTGGATCTCTGTGGGTTTGAGAGTAGCCTGAGCCACACAGTGAATTCAAGGCCAATTAAGACTGTCTCAAAAGATAAAAAAAAGATGGCTCAGAGTCATTCCCATCAACACCAAGGGTGGCCCACTCTATCAGACTTCTACCCAGAACACTCTGAACAAACTAAAAAAGGAGTAAAAGTTATGCCTATAATCCCAGCATTTGGAAAGCTAATGCCATAGGAGTTCGAGACCAGCTTGGACTACAGAGTAAGCCTCTATCGCTAAAAGACCACACAAAAAAAGAGCCAGGTGGTAGTCGTGCATGCCTTTAATCTCAGCACTCAGAAGGCAGAAGCAGGTGGATCTCTGTGAGTTTGAGGACAGCTTGGTCTACAGAGTGAGTTCCAGCACAGCCAAAATTACAGAGAGAAACCCTGTCTCAAAAAACAAAACAACAATAACACAAAAATTCGAAAATGAAAACACCAAACACACACAAATAGAGTGAGAAAACCTGAAATGAGCAAGCAGCTCATTTTTCAGGAAGAACAGAATGGTAGTTGCTGGGAGCTGGCCAGGGTACTAGTGATGTAACCAACAACTACCTACCTCCAGACATACCACCTTACAGTTCAAGAAGCCCTATGCTGGGACTGGAGAGATGGCTCAGTGGTTAAGTGCACAGACTGCTCTTCCAGAGGACTCAGATTTAATTCCCAGCATCCATGTGACAGCTCACAACTGTCTGTAACTCGAAGATCTGGCACACTCACACAGACATACATGAGGCAAAACAACAAAGCACATAAAAAAGAAGTCCCATGCTGATTCTAGAGAAAACTTGTGGCCTGCCCTAATGTATATCCCATCCCATTATGACTCCAATTCCTAGGCCACATCCTTTGCTTTGCAGAAGAGCTGCAGGGAAAAGAGACTAGTGACCTGTCTTTCCCAAAAATACATAAATGGCCAAAGGCAGACAACAAGAGTCAGAGGAGTTCTCACAAACAAAGGTCTACAAGTAGACTGGTCCAGGTTGTCATTAAGTGTCCCTACGATGTGGATCTGAATCCTTACCTTAGAGCAGGTTTCCAACTGCTTACCTCATGTCTCCAAGCTTCCTGCTGATGGCGGAGCCCATGGTGGACAGGGCAGCAGATGTTTTCTGTCCTGCCTGTGAAAGAGTTTCTTGAGTCTTCTTGTAGCTGGGGAAAAAACCACACTACTTAGGCTAAACAGGAAAGGCAGCAACAGTCCATCACCAAAAACAAAACAAAACAAAAAAGTATGTAGAAAACAACCAAAGGAAAAGCAAGAAGGAGTCTGGTAGGCGGTAAACACTTACTGGCTGGTGGGGCTTGCTCCCTGGGCCCCTACACTGCTGACCTACTTCAGTTCCTCAACTTCCAGTTCATCTGAACCTTACCTGAGACTTTACCACTCTCCTGTTTTCTTCTGACACTTCTGACTACTCAGGAAGCCAAAACCTACCAACTGCAGAGAAAACAGACTACAGACATCCTGGGTCTGGCAACACACCTGGGTAGGCAATACTGGAGCAGCAAAGACCAAGAAAGTTCTCAGCTCCTGATCAAGCCAATTCAAGCTCAAAGCTTCTCCTTCCTCTTCCCATGTAGGACAGTCTTCTGAAGCAAGAAAGCACAAACTCAAGTACCTCTATGAAGGATGTGCCAATATGGGCTAGCACCTGGGGGAGTCTTTGCACTGAAGAACCCTTTGATTTCCAGTGCTACCTATACAATATCCTTCCAGAACATGAAGAGCATCCCTTTCTCATGCTCCCTCCAGTGTATGGGCAGCCTTGGCCCACAGCAAAGACCACCATCCTACCCACAACTGCTGACAGACACACTGCCTATTCTAGGTTCTTCTAAGACAGTGATTCTCAACCTTCCTAATGCTGTGACCCTTTAACACAGTTCCTCATGTGGTGACTCCCAACCATTAGATTATTTTCATTGCTACTTCATAACTGTAATTTTGCTGCTGTTATGAATCATAATGTAAATATCTGTTATGTGATGTCAGTGAAAAGATTGTTTGACCCCCTGAAGGTGTTGCAATCCACAGGTTGAGAGCCACTGTTCTAAGAAGTCTAGTTCTTAAAGAGGAGCTGTCTAGGGCAGCACAGCACAGTATATATATATACTGTGTATATATACATATATATGTATATGTATATGTGTGTGTGTATATATATATGTATATATATGTACACACACACACACATATATATACATCACACCAAGATAAGGCTCCATAACCTTAACACCAATGGGTTACCCCACCCACCAATGTAATGATGGGCAGGGATACTGTAAAGTCATCATAAAAATCTTGCTTCCCTGTTGGTTCTGCTATCACACAAAAAAAGGCACAGCAGTCTCGAAAATTAAAAGATCATAACCAAAAAACCAAATCCCTCACTTAAAGCCTTTGATCATAGCTCCTTACTGGATGAAGACGGAGAACCTGAAGCTGAGTTAAGAGTAGGTAGATCCTCATGAGGCTGCTTAACATTACTATGGTAACCTAAAGAAACCTCTCTCCAGCATATCCAGCAAAGCTTGAAATGATCAGTTACTGACTTTCCAAACTCTTCCTGGCCCTACTTCCTAAAGGAGGTCTAGTAAGAGCATCTACCAGCCAACAGGCTAAAGGTAGGTCTGGTAACCCACAAAGGCCCTGAAGCCTCCTCCTGTGGCTACCCAGCCCAAGTTACATGGCACTTTCCTACCAAAGCCAGCGAAGCAAGATTCCTATAAGAAGGAAATTTCAATGAAAACAAGGCGTTTCTTTAAAATACCAAGTTCAAGGTAACTAAGGACTGGCAGCATTTAGCTGCAGAAATATAAATTCAGAATCACTAATACCTACAAAGGGAGAGGAAGAGAGGGAGAACAGGAAAGAGGAAGAGAGAGAACACAAAAACATAGTCCAGTCAGTCAGTCATGGTAGCACATTCATATAATCCCAGTTCTTAGGAGGATGAAAAGTCTAAAGCCAGTCTAAACTGCACAGAAAGATCTTATTTCAAACAAAAGAGGAGAAAGGAAAGGAAGGCAGGTAGGTAGATCATAAGGTCATCACCCAGGTCCATAGGCTCCAATGCTGCAAGTCCACGGTGACAGCCTTGTATATCCAGACAAGCATACTCCTTGGAAATCATACTCCTGGGAATCACTACATGACACTAATGGAGAAGCTAAGCTCACAAGGTAGTAGCTGGAAAGACAGCAAGCAAAGATAAACAGCTATCTAGGGAGCACTGTGCTGTGCTGCTCTAGACAGCTCTTCGAGACTGAGACTTCTTAGAACAGCAGTTCTCAACTTGTGGACCCTCTTTGGGGGGTCAAACGACCCTTTCACAGGGGTGGCATATGAGATACCTTATGATTCATAACAATAGCAAAATTACAGTTATGGAGTAGCAATGAAAATAATCTTATGGTTGGGAGTCACCAACCAGAACATGAGGAACTGTGTTAAAGGGTCACAGCATTAGGAAGGTCGAGAACCACCATCTTAGAAGAACCCAGAACAGGCAGTGTGTCTGTCAGCAATCGTGGATGTGCTTTTCCCTCCCTTTCGGAGTCTTCCTTTTGAGACTGACCTCACTTCCTTCATAGGCTTACCAGAGGATACAGTTCCCTGTCCACAGGATCTATTCTCATAATACCCACAACTAGACAACCTTATTACCTGCGAATCCAGAGCAGGGGCTTCTCTGTTATCTTACCCTGACACTAACTGTGCTGTTAACTGTAGCCCAAAGAACTCAAAGTTAACCATGAACCCACTAGTAAGTACAGAATTTGTGTGGTACCCTCAACACCATTTTTTTAGTTATAGCTATCTATAAAAAGAATGCAACAAGGTTTGAAGACCCACAGAACATGGCTGTTCCTTTATCCACAAATGACTAAGAAAGCAATGCCTCCCACAGAATCTGAGCTGTGCAAGTGCAGTAGTAACTGTCCCAGGGCTATGCACAGAGGGGCAGACACTCATATCTAATGAGTCCCATGTTGTTCCAGTCCTCCAGCATGCTACTGGCTGAAAGGAATCTACAAACACATGGGTCAAGAAGGTCAGGAAGCTTGAACATATGGCCTTAGCTCTAGACAGAGTCAATCCTGCCAGCAGTTCATCTCCTAAATTCTGATCAAGATAGGTACTAACCAGGCAGAGGAACCAGAGCAAATAGCATCTTTAGTCCTAGCCCTATTACCTTGGGATCTCAGTGCAGAAATGCTTCCAGGTTAGGAATCACTGCTGACAGCTCTTTCCCCAAAAGTTGGGATGAAACCCTGGAAGAAGGCCTCTGCCAGAGGAAGTGACTAGAATGGGCTACACTTCCACACAATGCCATAGATTTTTCTGGGAGAAGTCAGAATCCCATGTATTTCATGTGAGCTCTTTGAGAAACTATTCAAGATGGCATCCCAGACAGCTCTATATCAGATGATTTCTCAAACATAATGAATAAACATTTCTCCTAAGACTATGTTCACATCGAATCTGTACAATGAGCCTGTCTTGGGCTCTAGCAGCACAGGTGACAGTGTCTCCAACCTAGAAAATATATGCTTCCAGCAAGCTCACTGTCTAGGCAGTCCTGAGAACAACTGTCAGTATTTACAGGAAAGCTAAGGTAACAACTGGGTGTTAAACCATAGCAAGCCAGAGCTTTCTCTACCTGTCTGCTTCACATATGACACCAGACCTTAAGGCCCTACATGCACAGGGCACCAAGGTCGTCCCCAGGCACCTTCCAAGATAAGCTCAGCAGAATTTCCCTCAGCCCAAGCATAAAAGGACTTCTCCCCTAAGCTTTATAATAACCATGTCAACATTTCCTTCTAAAAGATTATTCTCGAGCAGTCAAATCCTGCCAGAAACCCTCTCCTGAGGTCTGATTAAATCATGCATCAACCTGGTAGATGAAAAAAATATTATAATCTGACTAGTACACAGGTAAATCACAGGTCATTAACTAGACTAAGGATCCCAAAACAACAGAAGTCACTAAACTATAGCTTTGACAGACATACAGGACTGCCCACAAGCAATTCATGCTCTATTGATATTTATGTGGCTGACAATGTAGCACCCCCAGACCACAGAACTTCATGAATCCACCAACATATACCACCATTACTTCCCCACCACCACCAAGAACCTTTCATACCCCAACACCTAGAGCTGAATTTAAGGCTAGAAGACAGGAAGGGGACAAGTACAAAAATTCACCACTATTAATGGGTCTGATGGCATTAACCACCATGTCACTGACAAAAATCAGGTTGCACAAAAAACAAAACAAAACAAAAAACAACCCACTCAGTTCAGGAACCTCACAAAACCAGGCAGAAGAGTTTAAGCATGCTGTGTTGACTGAGTGGATTTCTCTAACTATAGTACTCTATCCTTCAGGTATTTAAAGCATACTTTTGTTTGTACTTGGGAAGAGTGATAGCCAGCAAGTAATGAAAGGTGGTCTGTGCCAAGGATGCACAGTTTCCCTGCCACAGGGAGACAGAGAGAACAGTAAGAAAGGACACTGACAACATGGGCACTCACAGATCAGACTGCGTTACTTTCTCATTCCACTCTCCAAGTTTCTCAGACGTTTTCACATAGCTAAAAACAGAAAGTCTATGGTGAATATTTGGAATGATTTCAACCCAGGCTTCAGGCTGCAGGTGAGACTCCAGAGAAGATAGAAACACCATCTGGTGGGCTCTACAGGCCACCCAAATAGTCCAGAGCCGCTACTACACTTGTGTAGGCCCAGGGCTTGCTAGAATTCTACAGGACAGAAATGACCATGCCTTCTCCCAAACACAATACAGGAGCACCTGGTCTTTTAATAGTAGAAGGCTCCTGAGAACAGCACAAAACATGGCCCCTGCATACTCTCACAGTTACCAAGAAACTGGACTCAAAGTCCCAAACATCCTAGTATAGAAACATGGGGTTTCTACAGGTGAAATTTTAAAAATGTGATTCAATTTCTCCTTTGGTAAAAAGCTTTTAGAGATACCCTCCAAAGGAATGCTGTATCAGAGGAGAAATATGGACACAAATATGGCAAACTCTAATGAAATTCTGACAACTCAGTCACATGCGAGCCTGGTACCCACCTCTACAGACACAGAAAAGTCATTCTGAGCACCTCATTGGTTTTGTGACCAATTTGGACCCAGGGGAAACACTTTCTTCTTGTCAATTTCTACTTGGACACCTAGCTAAGTCCAACCACCTTCAAAAATACATATGCAGATTCCCTCCATCAGTAAACATAGGTACAGTCCCTAAGACCTCAAGTCTGGTTACCTAATCCCAGCAGGTTCACTCAATAGTGATTGTTGTAAAGCATCTCATTCCCAAGCACCCATACACTCCACCCACAAGAAAGAGGCACACTCTAATGAACACTTTCTTAGCCAAAGGAACATCCCTACCATGGGACTGGTACCTACGCAGTAGAGACCTGCACATCATGCCAGCTCCTAGACAGGTTCTGCTTCAGCTCCCCTAATGTGGAGAGGCCCAGCCTCCTTTTCAGTTCTCCGCAGTGTCTCTCTTTGGCTGCCAGGACCTGGCGCAGAGTGATAATTTCTTCTTCCACCTGTAAAAGAAGCAGGGCTGGGGATAAAGCTCAGTTGGTAGAATGCTTGCCTTGCAAATATGAGGCCCTGAGTTAGACCTCTAGCACCATAAAAAAGAAGTTGACATAAGAGGCTGTGACTGCTGCCAACAAGTGAACACCAAATACCCTAACCCATGCTGTAATGAGACTTTCTTAAAGGTTTTCACTTACAGAAACAGTTTGGTTAGGCGGTGGTGGCACATGACTGTAATCCCAGCAGGTGGATCTCTGTGAGTTCGAGGCCAGCCTGGTCTACAGAGCTAGTTCCAGGACAGCCAGGGCTACACAAAGAAACTTTGTCTCGAGAAAACAAAACAAAAGTTTGTCTTAAAAATAGCATCAACAATGGCAGCTGTTCTGCTTTTATCTGGTATCAGTACCCCAACTTCTAGAGAACTCTACCCTCAGCCTGGTCAGTAGGGTTTTTTTGTTTGTTTTAATGATTTATTTATTTATTATTTATATAGCATTCTGTCTGCATGTGTGCCTACAAGCCAGAAGAGAGCACCAGATCTCATTATAGATGATTATGAGGCACCATGTGGTTGCTGGGAATTGAACTCAGAACCTTTGGAAGAACAGCCAGTGCTCTTAACCTCTGAGCCATCTCTCCAGCCCTAGAAAGTAGTTCTTTAGGACTACCAATTACTTCTCCCAACCCACTTAAGTCTTAGAACACCAAATGAACCAGCCTTATCAGAACTCCTTCATGAGATTAGACATGAGTGTTAGGACACAAATCCCTTTTCCAATGGGTTCTGGGCCTGACTTAGACATAGCAACTAAAACTGCTAGTGGTAAGGACCCACAGGTGAATCTCCTCTACAGTAAAAAGGAAGCAGAACTGACAGACGGACAGAGATCTAGGTAAGAGAGAAGCATTTCTAATGGCAATTATTGGCATTCCAGAAGTCAGCTGTAAGACTTAGTAAGAAACAGTTACTCAAACAAAAGAGTAATTCTCATTTGTTCTGGCAGTTTGAGATTAAGAGAATGATTTTTTTTTTTTCAAGGCAGGGTTTCTCTGTGTAGTCCTAACTGTTCTGGAACTCCCTCTGTAGACCAGGCTAGCCTGGAACTCAGAGATCCACTTGCTTCTGCCTCCCCAGTGCTGAAATTAAAGGTGTATGCCCCCAACACCCAGCATTAAAAAAAAAAATTATACTTATATATAATTTATGTTAGTGTTTTGTCTGCATGTATGTCTGTATGAAAGCTTCAGAAACCCTAGAACAGGAGTTACAGACAGGTATTAGCTGCTATGTGGGGGCTAGGAATTGAATCTGGGTCCTCTGGAAGAGGTAGCCAGTGCTCTTAACTGCTGAGTTATTTCTCCAGCTCCAAGAAAGATTCTTGATAATAAGGACCTGAACTTTTTAAAGAAAAGTGACTTCCGGAAAGAACAATTTTGAAGCTTTCCCACTACAGAATGTGTTCTCAATAGTTTTAGTCCCAGTATAAATAGCTACACTGAAAAAAGAACTTTTCAGTCAACCATGGTGGTACAGTAGTCCTATAGTCCCAGATATTTGAGAGAATTGCTTGACCCACATGGGGGTGAGACCCTTATCAAAAAGATAATAAGAAACAAAAGTAGCGGGTATGGTGGCACGCATCTTTAATCCCAGCATGAAGAGAGGCAGAGACTAGCCTGGTCTACAAATTGAGTCCAGAGAAACCCTGTCTTGAAAAAAAACCAAACCAAACCAAAACAAAACAAAACAAAAAAAACATACACACAAAAAACAACACCCCTCCCCAAAAGAAACAAAAGTAAACATGGTGGCACCTCCCTGTGATTTCAGCACTTAGAAGATAGACAGGAGGATTATGAGTTAGAAGCCAAACTAAAACAAATGAAACTAAAAAGATCCAGTGGACACAGAGTCACAAAGTCTTAAAAATGACTGTCAAGTGTTAATAGCAGCAAACAGCAAAGTTGGAGGCATTATTGTATAAACAGCCTCTTCATGGAGGATCTAGTGTTTCCAGACAGAGGTGGTAAGATGAGGTCAGGCCCCACCTCCTCTAACAGGGACTCAAGCTTACTCTTTTGAACTAGGCACATAGTAAGAGATAGGCCAGAAAACACAGCAGACACAAAAAACAAGTAACAGCCCAACAACAGCGTTGTCACAGCATAAGCAGTGTTCTTCTCTACTCTCTGTATAACCCCAAAAGACTCATGATCATCTCAGGACAGAAAATAAAACCAAGGCACCTTAGCAAGCTCAGCCCGAAGCTCTTCTTCCTCCACCTCTGTCAGGCCCTCTACAGCTGGAGTCCGGGGGGCCACACCTGGGTCAACAGGGACATCAGTCATGAAATCAGACAGCACACCTTTGTTAGGAGAATTCAGGTTGATATCTGCCAGAGACAAAAATGGAAGTCAAAGAGTGTCAAGTAAGTTGTTACTCTATTAGAAAAGAAGGAAGAATGGAAGATGATAGGTCCCCAAAGGAGGGCAGGAGAACATGAAAACTAGACATGCCTATGCTGATCGTCTGGGCACTGGATGGAGAAAAGCTATTTCTTGGGCACCTGAGATGCAAACCCAATATCACCTGTGCTACTGGAGTACAAGAAACACTAGCTAAGGCAGCCAAACCCAAGGTTTTAGTTTCCCTTGTGAAAATACTATCTTCAACAGCAGAAAACCCTGCTTTAAAGAAAGCAGTCTAATCTAATAAATCTCCCATTTTTTTGGATTGAAGGAATTAAATATAATAAGCATTACTTTATGCTAAAGAGTATATGCATGGAATACATGCAAGTCATCAGACACCTATCATACTAAAGCCACTTCAGATTCCTGCAGTCACCATGTTTTCATTAGGCACACCTATCTGCACAAATATCTCAGAAGATACCACACACAGAAAACCTTTCTTACCGGGCATGGTGGCTTACATCTTTAATCGCAGCACTGAAGCAGCAGAGGCAGGCAGATCTCTGTGAGTTCAGCCTGGTCTACACAGTGAAACCCTGTCTCAGAAAAAAAGAAAAAGGAAAAAAAAATAAAGTAAAGTTAAACAAAAAGCACAGAATAGAAAGGAGAGATGGTTCATTGGTTAAGAGCACTTGCTGCTCTTCCAGAGGACCTGAGCCCTCTTCTGACCTCCACTGGCACCAGGCAATGAGGTGAACAGACATATATGCAAAAACAAAACAAAAACAACATTTACAAACATAAAACAAAAATAGGTAATTTTAAAAGAAAGATTTATTTATTTGTGGGGTTATTTATCCATTTATTTGTGGGGTTAGAGGCCAGAGAACTTGGGGAAGTCAGGTCTTTCCTTCCACCACGTGAGCCCTGGGCAGCAAACTTAGGTTGTCAGGCTTGGCAGCAAGCTCCTTTATCTTGCCAGTTCATGACTCGAATTTTTAACTGAGATCAACTTATGGTATTTTATCTCATCATCTGTACTCACTGTGCTGAATCTACTCAAACTCAGTTTAAGCACCTCAAAAACCTGTACAATTAGAGCGCTGGAGCATTTTCTGTTGTTCCAGGGTGTTGCATTTAGAGTTTCTATTGGAATGATAAAACACCACGACCAAAAGCAACTTTGGGAGGAAAGGAATCATTTCACTTACTCTTCTACATCACAGTGCATTATCAAAAGAAGTCGGGCCAGGAACCTGGAGGAGGGAGCTGATGCAGAAGCCATGGAAGAATGCTGCTTTTACTGGCTTGCTTAGCCTGCTTTCTAACTTGCACAGGGGTGGCAGTGAGCTGGGCCCTCCCACATCAATCATCAAGAAAACGTTCTATAAGATATGCCTTCAGGCCAATCCTATGGAGGTATTTTCTTGATTAAGATTCCTTCTCCCTGAAGGGCAGTGATGGTGCATGCCTTTAGTCCAGCACTTGGGAGGCAGAGACAAGTGGATTTCTTTAAGTTCGAGGCCAGCCTGATCTACAGAGCTAGTTCTAGGACAACCAAGGATACACAAAGAAACCCTATCTGGATTTAAAAAAAAAAAAAAAAAAGACTTGAGACCAGAACAGCTGCCAGGAAGAAGGAGATACCAGGCTAATTGCTTGGAGATGTTTAGACTAACTCAAACTCCTGGGAAGGACACTCTTCAACCTGTTGAGCTGCCTGCAGGTTGTGCAGACTGTTCAAGGTTCTCAGCGTTGTGAACGTTCACCCAGGTTGGGGTGTGTTTTGCTGATGCAGCTGTTTTTTGAGCCATTTCTGCTCCTGTTAAGTAACCCCTCACCCATATTCCTACGAGTAACCCCCAACAAAACACACTGGTTCACCCACGTGGACTTTGGCGGTATCTGTACCTTTGGAATGTCCTGGGTTCCCTATCTGGGGTGAGAAGATGTAAGTTGCATCTCCCCAGAAAACGTTTTGTCACACAACAATCACTGAGCCACATCCTTAGCAGTGTCATTCCAGGGACCAGAATCTACTGCTTAGAAAGGAAAACAAACAGTAGATAGCCCTGTGAATTTGCAAATTCCCTTCAAAATAGAAAAAAAAATCCAGAATGTATAAGAACCCAGAAATTCTAATAATTAGGTAATGTGTACGTGCAGGCCAAACAGTAGAAAAACTTTTTGAGCTCAGCCACTGTAGTTAATTAAGTAAGCATTCGTGGCAACCTCATACTGGTCTCAGGTGTCTGTTCTGGCAGCAGATCTTGTGTTCTGGGTGTGCCCCTGACTCACTCTACCCTTCTCCCATTAGGCAATCTCTAAGTAGGCTAAAGCGGCGTTACCACCCAAGGGGCGCTACTAAACACAAGGATGGATGCACCGCCCCTTCTTTATAGGGAGCCGCCCACAACGCCTATGCTGGAGTTCAGCGCCAGATGGGGTATTCCCAAGGGCCCAGCAAAAGATAGAGGGCTGAAGAGACATGATGAAGGGGCGGATAGAGGGTGAACCGCAGAAGAAATGTCTGGAACTCTAGAAACTGAGAGGGAGCCAAGAAACGCGGCTTCAAAATGTTCCCAAGTGAGGCCGAGGAGCCGTGTCAAGGCAAAAGCACACACACCAAGACCATCAGGAGCCTTGAGGTCAAGGGCCTGTCGGCCAAAGAGAGCCCGTGGATCGACCAGCAGAGGCTGAGGGGACCGAGGGACAGAGTCGCGACTCTTGGAGGACAGAAATGAGGCGCAGTCCCTGCCCAGCTGCGGGTACCTTGGCTGGCGGAGTCCATGTTCAGGCGGCAGGTGGGCCGTAGCTGGCGTCGGTGCTGGGATCGCGGGTACTACAGGAGCCAAGCTCCGAGTACTGCGAGCTGGCAGCCGCGTACACACAAGCCAGTGGAATCGTCCGGCCGCAGTAGTATACGTAATCAGCGTCGCGCTACCTTACTTCCGCTTGGGTTCGCGCTCCGTCTCCTTCCCGCCCTCGGTGAAGTAGTGTCCAATGAGAACGCCCTCTGGCCCCACCGAACACTAATCACTCCATTTGATAGGTCCAGGCTACAGCGAAGCAGGAAGCAATGCTTCCAGGCTGGTTCCACCAGTAAAATTCCTGGGTTAAAAGGCCAGGGTCTCCGAGGTAGCGGCTGGGATTGTGTTATTGTATACCGGCCCCCAGCCTACCTTTGGCTGCCCACAGGGTCCTCGACCGCGCACCCGGGAGGGTCAGACTCAGGCCTGTGCGCTCCCTAGTCCCCGGAAAAACCTCTCCCTGCCTCCCGTAAATTCTTTTGGTTTTTGAGACTTCTTTTCTTGTATCTAAGGGTGACCTTGAATTTACTACGACCCTCCTGCCTCCACCTACCTAGTGCTAGGATTACAGGAGCCTGCCATCACTGCTGATTTATACCGTTTTGGGGATCGAGAATTCAGGACTTGATGCGTGCTAGGCAAGCACTGTACCAATTAAGTTGCATTTACAGCCACTTTATAGACTTTTTTTTTTTTTTAATCTGTGGATTGCACTAAAAATGAAGAGAGGGCGATTCATCCTCTTGCCCTGCAGATGCCGCTCTCTCCAGCTAGATTCCTACACTACTGTTCCCCCGGTTTGGGGGCTGCGGCTTGGCTTGCATTATCATACTCGAAGAGTTCACATAGCTCTGAACACAGCAGGGACCTGTTGGATCCTCCCAGTAACTGAAGCTCAATCCCGAGCGCGCACCGCAGTGTTTTCTCAATTTCTTTTTCACAACAACGGGTGGGCCAGCACTGGTGCCCCCTCCCAGTTTACGGATGAGTAAACTGAGCCTAAAGTAATTTCCCAAACATCACTCCAGAGCTTTGAGGTTCTTGTCGTGTTAGTGTGTCAACACTAACACGAGAACAAGAGTCCTCAAATGAGGAGTTATGCCCATTGAGCAACTGTCTGCTAAAAACAAGCCTCAACAATTTCTTTTTGCCCCCCCCCAAAAAAAAAGCCTCGAATGATGTTTACTGTCTTTCAGAATTGCCCCTCCTACAGGGTTGAACTTCTTCCAGCCAAGCCCCAGTGAGTACTGGATCCTGGAAGCTTCCCTCTACCCCTCCCTTCTCTGGCTCTTCTCCCTACAGGTGTCTTCTTGCACAGGCCTAGGTGCTTAATTGACTGTGACAGTATCCTGTTCAAGGTTGTCCATTAATGTATCTTCTCCATTTACCATCTTGCTTAACCCAACCTGTTGAGCCCTTGTCCACAGGGCTAGAAATGAAAAAGAACAGCCAGTGTCTCTGCTTCATGTAGTGACCGCAGTACAGATGGTGGTGAGCTGAAGACCTGTCATTCTGTTTTGTTTTGTTTTCAAGACAGGGTTTCTCTGTGTAGCCTTAGCTGTCCTGGACTCCCTTTGTAGACCAGGCTGGCCTCCAACTCACAGAGATTCGTCTGCCTCTGCCTCTGCCTCTGCCTCTGCCTCCCCAAGTGCTAGGATTACAGGCATGCACCACTGCACCTGGCTATGCTTTGCATTCTTGAGCCATGAACAAAGCCCAGACCTAGCCCAGGTCTGGCCTAAAATGACACCTAGTAACAAGTGGTCATTCAGGAGCTATAGGCCACAGGCCACAGTGTGTCCCATTGCCCTAGGTCTACAATCCCTTTATAGAACTCCCTTCCATAGAATGCAGAAATGAGTAGTGGCCACTGCACAGCAGCAGCTGCTGAAACCTGCTAGCAGTGAGGCCCCACAGTGCCAGTACCCTACTTTCACTAGGAGCTACTTGAATCATTACTTGGTGTCCTCTTCTCAGGAGGTACCCTGTAGCCCAAGCCATGTGAAAGGCACTTCCCTGTGGCCACACAGCCTCCCTTAGTCTCCCATGATCAGACACCACACATTACCATAAATTGGATCAGGTTCATCTTTACATTCCCTTCGAGAATTAGGCACAGGCCTTTAGATGTGCTCGAGGAAGAGAAAAGACAGAAGCAGGAAAGAACAGAAAGAAGGTGAAAACAAGTACAGTCCAAGATATATTGCCCACTCTCCCAGACACCAAGATCCTCAGCAGGGCCAGCTTTTTCTGTATAGATGTAGGGAGAGGAACAGTTGCAAGGAGCTAGAAGGTGTACAAATGCCCAAGTTCGTGAGTCACATAAATAGTGGCTAGAGTGCCCAAGGCAATTGGAAGTCCTCAGGCTCCAGTGGGCTGCAGTGTGTTGCCTCCAGGTTCTTGAGGTGCTTGCGTGCCAGGAACAGTGCGAGCTGCCGGCGCCGCTTGGGGCTCAGGCCTTGGCCCACAAGCCAGGGGAAGGTAGGTCCATGTGGCCCCCAGGCCTCATCCTCATCCAACTCCTTCTGGCAGCGCTCACGATAAGAACGCAGCATTGTCAAGCACCACTCATCATCGACGCGGTAGCGTGCATAGAATGCAGCCTCTTGAGCCAAGCTGCTGGCACGCAGCCAGCGGGTTACCACTGCGCGGCCCCCGCGGGCCATCACAGACGGGTATCTGTGCTGCAGAAGGCGCAACAGCAGCTCATTGCCACGGTTACCTTCCACATCGCCCTCCACCTGACAGGATGTCAGAGAGGGTATATGATTCGAGGTGCTGACAACATCATCTTGTATGCGTCTGAGCAAGAGTACTGGGCCTGAGTAGCAGCACAGCTGCTCAGCCACATTGAGATTGAAGTGTTCCCGTACAGTGCGTACTACCAGCCCCTTCCAACTTTGGGGCATGACCTTCAGCGCTAGTGGCACAAGATCATCAAAGGTGGCATCCAGCACCAGTGCACCCAGTTCTGGGTAAGTCATGGTGGCCCAAGTGGCTGTGAAGCCTCCTATAGACCAGCCATAAACCACCACATGTGCCGGCGGGAAGTGCAGGCGGTGCAATGCGTACTTAACCACCACATCCATTGCATTTGCATCATGTTGAGGGAAGGGTGCACCTGTGCTGCCCCCGAATCCAGGGTGGTTCCATCCTAGCACTGAGTATCCAGCCTCCAGGGGCGCAGACAGGCAGCCCATCTCGTAAAAGCCAGCATTGCCTTCACAGCATATGACCAGGCGCAGGCCGCGGCCATGGCTGCCAGGATGCTGGCGGCGATCCATGAACATGGTGTCAATCTCGTTGCCATCGCAGGCCACCAGCTTGGCACGCCGCCCACGGTAGCGCTCCACTAGTCGCTCTTGGCCCTGCTGCAATAGAGGCAGTAGCGCGCGCGTCATCAAGAACATAGAGCCGGGGTATACGAGCCAGCGGCCCAGTGAGTGGGCCAGTGCGTAGCTGGCGAGCTGGGTGGGCAGCTCACGGATCTGCTGGAGGAGGCACTGCGCTTGGCTCCGAGCTCCTCGTGGAGACCTTGTGAGTACCTCCTCGCCCAGCGCGGCATCATGGAGCAGCCACACACCTGCTGCAGCCGCAGCACATGTCAAAGCACGGTGACTGCTGCTTCTAGAGCCTGGGGCATGCACGTCATCCCAGCGGAAGTCCACCGGCCAGCTGCGGAAGTTGTACGTGTAGTTTGCTGTCAAGTAGATCTTAAACACGTGCACTAGTGCCTTCACAAAGCAGATGACACACATGGGCACTGAAGCGCTGCACTGTTCCCTGTTAGCCCTAAGGCCTGAAGGCCCAGTCCTGGTTGTGGAATGGGAGCAGGAGACGCAGGCCCGGCCCAGCGGGCAACTGCGGAGGCAGGGACCACGCACAGCACTCTGACGGAATGCCTTCTCTTCATAGGCCCCAATGGCCTTTGTGACCTGTGCCTTCCAGGGCCCAGAGAAAGTTGTATCGCTCTCAGTTTTGTGAGTCATTGTTGCTGGGAGAAGTGACGCTAGGGTAATAGTCTCACAAAGGGTTCTAAGGGTTGCTATATCTCAAGTTCGGTCCCACCCTCTGGGACAGTACCTGTGGACCCCACAGCAGCTTTCTACCATGTTTCTAGCACCTTGAGCAGCTTCACCTCCTCACTGAAAACAGACAGCTAAGGACACCAGAAATAAACAGCCTTAACTTCATCCTTATTGAGGGAAGAGAGTTAAGGAAAAGGAATTTCCCATACCTGGACCAAAATTGTTGTGAGTAACACACCCTTAGCTCCTCCTTGGACTTTGGGGTTCATTTGTTTACATTTCCAGCAAAAAAAAATCTAGGTTAGAACAGCTGCTGTTGGAGTTAGGAGGTGTGTTTTGCTCCTAGCCTGATTGCTACAGTTCCATGCTTACCTTCCCCAGAAAGAAGATAAGGGTTAGGCTAGGAACATCTTCCTACACCTACACACACACACACACACACACACACACACACACACACACACACACACACACACACACACACACACAACACAGGAACACTTTCTGCGTCCTCTTCACTGGACCAACAGCAGCAATTGCCTCCAGGTGGGTCCTGCCTAGCTGTGGTTCTTGTTTTTCCCACTTGAACTAACCCACAAAGTGTATCTTCCTCTTTTCTAGAGATTTCTAGCGGGTGGGTTCCTCTTTTTCTCCTGTACTAAATATGGCCAACCCACCTGAGGGTCAGACAGCTGTAGAGCAGCATACTGCAGTGCCCAGGAATCATTTAGCAGTGGTCCATGTCTGAAACAAATTCTAAAAGCAAGGAAATTCAGCTAAATCCCCTGAGTCCAAGGACCAGGCCTATTTGAAAGAACCCAGGCTTTTAGGGAAGGTGGTTTTCAAGCTCTAGCAACCACTGTCTGCTCTCCTGTTCTACTTTCCAATTAAGGCACTGACTGTCTCAGCAGCTCGATAGCTTCAGACTCAGCTAAATGCTGAGTTTGTAGAGGTGACAGAGGAATTGGACTAGTGTGGTGGTTTGAAAATGGCCGCCATAGACTCGTGTTTGAATGCTTGGCCCATAGAGAATGGCACTATTGCAAGCTGTGGCCCTGTTGGAGTAGGTGTGGCCTTGTT